CACCCGGCTGGCTCAGCCTAGAGGATCCTCCGGGCGGCCGGAAACAAAGAGGCAGCCCGCCCGGCGCAGGGCTGCGCGCTCAGTGACGTGGAGGTGGAGGCCCCTTTCCTTGGGGACAGGGTGTCCCCGGATTCCCAAGTCACTTCTTCCAGAACAGCGGTCCTCGCTGCGTGTCCAGCTGCCTCGGGCCCTGAGGCCTGGCGCACAGGCCGGCAGATCGGGGCTCTTCAGAAGGCCGTTTCCTAAATAGAGCAGCAGCCAGAGCGAGACCCATCGTGTTTGTCTCCAAGAAGTGCGGCGGAGGTGGCTGTGTGGGTGCGTGGGGAGGAGCCCCCGCAGTCTCCGCTGGCTCCTGACTGTCAGGGAGCCGCAGACTTTACTCCGTGCTCCTGGCTCCTTCTGCAGAACTGTGCTTGGGACCCCCTGCCACGTCCTGGGGCAGAGCAAACCGCTAAGTACGCAGCCAGCAGTATGGCGGAGGGCTCAGGGGTCCGGCAGGGTGCCCCTCTCCTTCGGTCTCCAGCACAGACTCCTTTGGGCGGTTGGTGTGGAGTTGTGGGACTGGGTTTCGTGTTGGACGGGTGCTCTGGTGTTGTCCAGACCTCAACTCCAGGACTCTCAGGCTTCTGGAGGAGCTGTGTTGCCTTGGAAAGGCCTCCAAAGCCTCCCATGGAATGTTGTGGCCTGAGGAATCCAGGGGCAACTCTGTCGGGTTCAGGGTGCCTTGGGAAGAGATGAAGTAGGAAGCATTTTTTCTCATCTTTGAGACTTTCTCCCTTCTCATCTACTGGTGGCACAGACCCCTGCTCCATCATGCGACTCTTGCAGTTTCTCTGCAGTTACTGGGAGCATCTTCACACCCTCTGCAGGCACAGTGGTCGGGTGGCCGGGCCCTTTCCCGAGAGCTAGATGTGCAGTCTTGGGTGAGAACACAGCTGTTCCCCTGTGAGCTGGATATAATAACCTTTCCCTGTGAAGCACAGAACTATGCCAGATTATCTCTTAAGATACGTGGTGGTGAGTCTGGGTGGATAATTAGCAATCCTGGCAGATACAGAAGCTGGAGGAGGACACTTTACTTCTTTTTCTCTTGGTCTCCACCTGTGAGACGCACTTTGGAAGGGGCTTCCTGGAGCCAGGGCCTTGCCTGGGCTGTTCCTTCTTCATGCTGGCTCTGTTGGTAGGAATTTCAGCTGGGAGGGAGGAACTGTGCCTGAGAGAGAGAGAGAGAGAGAGAGAGAAGCGATTTCCGGGCAAATGAGGCTTTGAAAGGTTGATCATATCACACCATGGCCTCTACCACCCATGGCATGGGGGTGGCTATGTTCTGGTCTCACTGAGGCCAGTGGACCCCTTATCTTGTGATGGCCCTGGGTGTGTATGACAGGCGGGCTTTCCAGCTGCTCATCTGAACAGGGTGGTACCTGGGTAAGGTGGCATTTGTTAGTGGCCAAAGCACTTTTTTTTATCTGCCCCAGTAGAGACAGGTGGGTCAGCGGAGTCTGGGTCCCAAGGTGCTTTCAGGGGCTCCTGTGCTCTGGCTGAGGGAGCCCTGCCTGCTCTGGGCCCATGTTTGCATGTGCCTGGTGCCCAGAGTCCTGTTTCTTGGCCATGCTGCACCTCCCTGTGGTCTCAGCAGGATCCAGGCCCTGGCAGCCACACCCCCAAATGTCCAGAAGAATGGGGACCTCATGAGTGAAGTCTGACTGTGTGCTGAGGAGCTGTGCTTTTGTGCCTGGTTGCTTGCTCAGTGATTGCCTGGACACGTGGGGACAGTGAAGCTTCATCCCAGCCCCCACTGTGACTCCCCTCTTGGGGAGGAGGCTCCGCCCCTTGACTTGTGTCCTTGCAGAGCCAGTGGCAGGCGCAGGTCCTCTCCATCTGTGTTGCAACTTGAAGGGTCCTGCTACTCCTTCTGTCCTCTTGGCCTGTCCAGCCTTCCTTCTTCTGGCATTGGTGGTGGCTCTGGAACATTGTCTTCTGGCTTTCAAAGCTCTGGGAAAACCAAAGACTCAGAGATATAGGGCTTTTCTCTGTTACCTGCTATAAATTCTTGGCTTGTGTTTTTTTCACATGTGGACTTTCTCATGTGAAAAAGCCCACCTGGGGACAGTCCCGTGTGTCTTTGCAAGTGCGCTGTCCTACCATAAGCCGGGCCAATTGTGCCTTACCTTGCCGGGGTGGGTTGTGTTTGCCTGGTAAAGCAATCTGGGCACCCGGGGCTCCATGAGTCTCCATCTTTCTCATAAAATGCTAGTCATCTGGCTCCAGAATCTGAACTAGTATTATGAAACATGTAGCTTAAAAACAACATTCATAAAAAACAGCAGTTTGTTTAAAAAAAATATTGAGACAGCAGCTGTTTCAACCCCAAAGGTGGAAAGCTTCCCAGTATGTATTTTTAACACACATTGCCACGTGGCCAAAGGGGGAGAGGGAGAAAGAAAGAAAGGAGGAGGAGGGGGAGAAGGAAGAAGACGAGGAGGAAGAGGAGGAGGGAAAGGAGGAGGCAGCGATCATCTTTATTATTTCCTCAGAGTGTGTGTGCATATGCACTTAAAATCTACTTCTGGATGGAACCCTGGAGATTTATCTTTGTGCTTTGGTTGTCTTGACAACAGTTCAGAGATCCCTGGCACTTCCTCTTCAGCTGAGCTGCTGGTTAAGGAGCCGTCCCTGCTCCTGACAGGGAGCCCACGAGACCTCGCTTGGCCTTTGTTAGAATCTACACAGTGGCTCATAACCAAGTAGTCACACACCCGGGCTTGGTGAGACTTCTGGGCCTCGGAGGTTGCAGATTTGCACAGGGCCTGTGTGTGGAAGGGTTGTGCGACCCGAGGGCCTGGGACCTGAGGACCTGAGGACGAACAGCTTTCTGCTCACTGTAAAGATGAGCAGCCAGTGCTGGCAACCTCACTGCGCAGAGTGGTAGTGAGCGCACCGTGACTGAGAACATCCATGAAGACCTTGTGCGTGTGTCGGAATTGTTGCAAGAGCAAACACATAATATTCCGGGCTGTGCCTGGTAACTTACTGGGTCTGTTTTCTGGTACTATAGCAAAATAGCTGAGGCTCCGTACTTTAGGAGGTAGAAAGGTTGTTTGGCTTGTGATTCTGGAGGGGCTGGAGGGTCCAGAGAGCAGGCCTCTGGTCCCCAGGCGGCATCCCAACCTGGTGGAGAACAGAAAGGGAACAGGCCATGGGCCTAGGGGGCCAAGTGCATTGGTGGCCTTGCTGAGTGACGACCCACTGCATACACTGCAGGGCATGGCCTGCATCCCGTCCTTGGCCACTGGGCAGAGCCCCACAGTTTGGAGAATGGCCTCCTCCCTGTCTCCATCCTGAGGACTAAGCTTCCAGCACCTGGCCCGTGGGAGCAAACCACATCCCGATCACAGCAGCACCCGTCCTGTGTGCTGTCGAAGCCTGGGAGCCCATTGACATAAAGGCCTGCAGGGGTCCAGTCTGCTTCCCTGGCCTTGTCTGGCTCCTGTTGTCAGCTGAGCCTCCAGGGAGAGTATCTTCCGGCTGCGGTGCCTCTGGGTGGACGTGATGTGGGGTTGCCTTTGCCAGCCCCTTGCTCCTCTTCTGCTGGGGCGGCTATGGCCTCAGAGCTCTGCTGTCTCCACGTCTGTCAGCATCTTTGTGCAGCTACTCCCCTCATCCATGGGTCTCAGTTTGGGCTGCTGCAGCAGGGATCCCACAACGGACGTTGGCTGCTTACGGCTCTGGAGGTCAGGGCCCTAGGTGCTGGCAGATCCCATCTGGTGAGGGCTCACCCTGCCTTGAATCAGGAGCATGGAGCCACAGCCCTGGGCTTTTTATTTTTATTCTGCATCCGGGTCTCGTGCAGTCGCCCAGGCTGGTCTCCAACTTGTGACCCTCCTGTCTTAGCCTGCCAGGTAGCTGGGATTACAGTCGTGTGCTACTATGCCTGGTTCTTTTTATTCTTCTATGGCTGTTGCTTCCACTCATGAGGGCCCTATCTTTGTGACCTGTCACATCCCAGAGGTGCCACCTGCTAGTATTCTTACATAGGGCTCAGCGTCAACATGTGAACCTCGGGGGACCCAAATACTCCCTCTACAGCACTCTGCCTGCAGCCCTCAGGTGTGGGCCCCCACCTCTGTTCTGCCCTGATATTGGCCTTGTAGGAAGTGTGCTGTGTCCCTTAGGTCTGGTCCAAGGCCACAGTCATTGGAAAACAGAAAAATTCACATTCTGAGGTACTAGGACTCACAGAGATTCTGAGCTCCCCAGTCAGAAAAGGGCTCCAGATGGGAGTGCCTGCAGGTTAGACTGACCTGGCGTCTGCACAACGCCTGTACCAAGGTGGTGCTTCATTGTTTTAGTTGTGTGGTCTGTCTGTGCTTGAAAATGGAAGAGGGACTCATTCCTCCAGCAGCCACCACCCAGTCAGTGCCTCTATCGCGCTGAGCCCAGGTGGGCAGGCGCTGTGGTCCCTGCCCCGGTGCAGGCACAGTGGTACTTGTGCTGCTTGGCTTTCCGCTGCTGGGATGGAATGAATACCCGGCACTCACAACTTCCCGGCGGATACAGGTGTGCACGAATTTCTCCTGAGCCATTTATTTGAAAGTAGGCTGCAGACTCACCTCACCCCTGGATGCTCTCGGATGCGTCTTCCAGGAAGGAGCCTGCTCCGGCAGACCGACACAGTCATGGTGCCGTGCTCTTGGCCCAGCTTGAACACAGCTCCGGTGCCTGTGCCAGACACAGACCACGTCCGGACATACGCACAGCTGTTCAAAAACGCCCCGAATTGGACAGAGGCCGTGTCCCACACTTGGTTATCAGGTCTCTGTGGCCATGGGTCAGCTAAAGCCTTCCTCTCCTTTAGCCCCAGGGCACAGGTGTACGTGTAGAAAGTCCCAAGGTTGGATCGTGTCCTTGTTGTGTCGTTCAGGCTAAGCATCACAGCGGATGCTGAAGGGCTTTGTGATTTTATACAATCGCGTATGACACAAAAGGTCTCCCGCCCACTTCTGCGGAATTTGTTCAAAAAACATTTCTTAGCTTCTGTATGTGCCAGGCAGCGGTCATTTGAATGAAACAGACACAGCCGTGCTCTTGGGAGTGCAAGGTTAGTAGGAAGGTGGAGACACAGTCGTAGATTGGCCCTTACTTCACAGGCTTGGGGCAGGTGATCTTTCAGATTTTAGAGTTTTTCAGATTTTGGAATATTTGAATCAACATTTCAGAGGGAGTGTTCGTTCTTATTGCAAAAATCTGAAATCCCAACTGCTCCAGAATCTAAAACTTGCTGAGTATCACCATGGTGTTCAGTAAGTCGTGGATTTCGGAGCCTTTCAGATGCCGCAGTTCTGCCTGAGGGGTGCTCTGTGTGTGGCCTGTCCAGAGGCGGGGACCCCTGGAGCCCTGGGGAAGGCAGCAGGGTGCGTCTGGTGCCTGTCAGAGGCCAGGATGGAGCGGAGGC